TTGCATATCAACATATATACCTTCATCTAACCAACCCGTAATAGGACTTGCATTCATGTCATATCCTTTCTTACAGTTAAAAGGGGACTTTATGGAATATTCATAGCGAGCATCTTCAAAATTGGAGTTAAGGAAAATATTTGGAGCTTTTTTGCGTTGGGACTAGGTTTGGCCACCTATGGGGTCAACCTGACCTCAAATAGTAATTCATTCTTGAGGAATTTGCATGAGAAGTCACTGAAGTCACATTTTGTACATCACAACACCAGGCATGTGAAGAAAACTTTTTGTGATATTAGTCATTGTTGCATTTAATTCAGTCCAAGAATTTAGGTTGATTTGATAATTTTCAAGTTTGCCATAGTATTAGGTCAATGAACTTGGTCCTAAAACTTAGATTTTTAGTAGATTTTGATAAAAGTTAGTGAAACGTGTGGTTGAAAAGTTGATAAAAGTCGTGTGTCTCATTGTGTGGTTGAAAATGAGTTATAAGAAATGGGAGCCAAGTAGTGGCTTAATTTATGATTCAGACTCTTATTTGTTTATCTTGGGAAGATGTCAAGTATAACAATCTCTCCCCTTTTTCCTTAGTAACCTAATCTAACAAGACTCTGTTGGCTAGAAGAGGGGTACTAACTAAAAACAAAGAAAAGAGGGCTGACAATTGAAAAACTTATCACGTTTTGTCTTATGAATGTTGGTCGATGTTACATGAAAACCAATGGTTTTTCGCTATTTTTGGGTAATTGGGACATAAAGAGACTTCATAACTTTTTAAAGAAAAGAAACCATTCTTTGGACGTTCATGAGGTAGAACAAAGTTTTTGACTTCTATATGAGCTTCTGTTGGATTTTATGCGCAATATTAAAAAGATGAAAACGAAAATCAACACAAGGATTTTACGTGACTCGACGGTGTGCCTACGTCCACGACAGCGAAGCGGAGATTTCTTTATTCAGTTGTTAAAAATAGGGTTACAACATATTATTTATACTAACCCTAGCTTAGGGCCATATAAGACTTTAAGGCCCGTACAGAAAATAACCTTGTACCGTACCACGGGGGCGTCGCCCCCGCCCCCCCAACCCATTCAGCGTATCTAACAACCAGACAGTGAATTAAACACGCGCAAGGCCAATGCCGTCACTCCACGCCGGCATCGGCCCATTTGATCCAGAATCTGTGTTCCACTCTACATGAGTCACATGCACAACAATCTCCACCTGGCGAATATCACCCCTTAGGAGAAAAAACATAACCTGGAAAAAACTACACCATCTAGGACCAATGGGTTGGGACACATCCTCTCTAGCAACTAGAGATGTTAATCAAGTTCAAGCAATGCTTGAACCTATCCATTGTGATTGGCTTTGTCATCATATCTGTTGCATTCTCTGAGGTATGCACCTTCTCTAACAACAACTCTCCTGAAGTAACCAACTCTCTTATCTTATGAAATCTCATATCAATGTGCTTGGTTCTTGCATGATAAATCTAATTCTTAACTAGGAAGATGGCGCTCTAACTATCACAATACAGCTTCATTCCATCTTGCTTGATCCCAAATTCCCTGACAAGCCCTTTCAACTACAATAATTCCTTGGCTGCTTCAGTTGCCGCCATGTACTCTGCTTCAGTTGTAGATAATGCCACAAGTGATTGCACCATTGAGCTCCAACTTATGGGCCCACCTGTCGAGTGTGAAAACATAACCTGCATGGGACCTTCTGTCATCCAAGTCCCCTGCATAATCTGCATCTACATATCCTTGAACTGAAATATCACCATGTTGTCTCTCAAACATGATTCCGCACTCCATTGTACCTTTCAAGTACTTAAAAATCCACTTTACAGCTCTCCAATGCTCTCTACCAGGATTAGTCATATACTTACTAACCACACTGACTGCATGTGCTAAATCTGGTCTGATACACACCATTACATACATCAAACATCCAACTGCACTGGCATAAGGTACCTTTGACATCTCTACAACATCTTCTTCACTCTTTAGGCACTGATTATTAGACAATCTGAAGTGATTTGCAAGTGGTGTGGCAACTGATTTTGCATCTAACATGCTAAGTCTCTCTAACACTTTTTTCAAATAATTTTTCTGAGACACGCATAATTTTCTGGCTTTCCTATCTCTGTTGATCCCCATGCTAAGAATTTTCTTAGCAGGTCCCAAGTCTTTCATATCAAACTTACTGCTCAACAAAGATTTCAATTT